TCTCCGCTGCCTCCATTCTCTTACCGTCACACTGGACCCGGTGAGCCCCGAGCTCCTCCCACTCTCATGGCCGGGGGTGCTAGAGGGACGAAGGGCAAAACACCAGGCGGACTCATCACGGGCACAGTGCCGGGCCCAGCGCTTTCGGGGGCCCATGAACATATGCCAATTCCTTTTGAAATCAGAAGAAAAAAAACTTTTAGGTCGAAGAAAATGTTTTAATATACAACAGCGTACTCACCTGATGCCGATGCAGCCATAAAATGTAATAACAGTTTTTAGTGGAGGAAGGGGCCTGGGAGAGCCGTGCTGTGCTGTGGGCCTGCTGAGCAGCCCGGTCAGGGGGGCAGTGTCGCCTCGGGCAGCCTGGCCAAGGCAGGGCAGAGCATGGGGCATAAGAGAGGGCAGCGCTTGCTGGGGGCTGCCAGGGAGGAGACACCCGAGCTGAAGATGGGGGAGACTCCTCTGCGCCCCGGCTGTTCCCTGAGCAAACCCAGGTCTGAGCTGTCTCCACGGAGTGGACGAGAACAGCAGCCACACAGACCTGGTTCTGCCCGGCTGGACCTCATGATACTGTGGAACCTAACCTCTGGGAGCCTCGGTTCCCTTATTTGGAAAACAGTAATACTGACACCTCCTCTGTGGGACTGGTTGGTCGTTCATACCATCATCCAGTATGTGTTTATCGAGCACCTACTGTATTCAGGCCCTGTCCTGGAATATATGCCACATGCACACAGGGCCTGGCACAGAGCAGTTCCTCATTACACATTTGTTGAATGAATAATTGGAACACAGGCTGGGGTGGCGGGTTGGGGGTACCACAAATAAATAAGTGAATACATAAAAAGTACATAGATGATGATAAGCATATAATCATATCAAATGTAAAGTGCAATTCCAAAGAAGGTAAGGTGCCAGGAAGGGGAAGAACAGGACACAATGACAGAGACAATGACTGGGTGTGGGAGCAGGACACCTGCTCAGAGAAGTGTTCAGGGTGGGCTTCTCGGAGGAGGTGGCGTTTAAGCGAGGGCCCGCCCCCAGCCCGCATCCTGTGTTGCAGGGATCCAGCCCGCGCTCTGGAGCCGCGAGGACGTGCTGCACTGGCTGCGCTGGGCCGAGGGCGAGTACTCCCTGCAGCGCACCCGGGAGCGCGGCTTCGAGATGAACGGCCGTGCGCTCTGCATCCTCACCAAGGACGACTTCCGGCTCCGCGCGCCCGGCTCAGGTCTGGAAACTCTCTGGCTTTCTCTACCCCCCTGGAAGCCCACGCAGGCCCGGCGGGAGGTGGAGGGGCGTTGGTTGGAAGGTCATGCTCACTCCCAGCACCGAGGCCGCCCGCCCCTCTTTCCATAAATGTTTGCCAGGTGGCTCCCAGCCCGGGCTGGCCTGCAGCGAAGGACTCCATTTGGCGGTTGATTTCAGAGCCGCAGGCAGGCGTCTGTCTTGCCGAGCACTGTCCCCTCCCATCTGTGGCCCCGTCTCCCCTACCATCTCCATCAGCACGCAGCCTGTGCGGGACATGCCCCCATGAGGCCGGTGGCTGCAGGGAATGAGGCAGCGCCCACGCAGCCTGGTCAGCAGCCCCTCCCGCCCCCAGGTGACGTCCTGTACGAGCTGCTCCAGTACATCAAGACCCAGCGGCAAGCCCTGGTGTGCGGCCCTTTCTTCGGCAGGGCCTTCAGGCAGAAGATGCCCCGTGGGCACTGCCCCTGCCCCCAGCAAGGTGAGGCGCTCTCCTCGTTGCTGGGCTTCCTCGCCGGCAAGGGGCTGTTTGCACCATGTCTCTGTTCCTTTCCCTCCTGATCTCTCCATGGAAACCGTTCTTGTCGGTCTCCAGGGCCCCGAACTTAGGGATGACCACACCCACTCGCTGTGGCCTCTCGCAGCCTCCCACCCCGTGGGTTACCCTCTTCCCCCAACTCCTCCCGTGGCTTCTAGGACACCCCACTGGTCACTCCCTCAGTCTCCTGGTTTCTGAATGTTGTGGTTCCCGGGACTTGGGGGGCCTCTTCCCTATCTACATGCAGACCTGGGTGGTCTCACCTTGTCTCGGGTGCGAAACACCATCTAGTGCCCATGACTCCATGTACACCCGGACCTCTCTGAACTCCAGACTTGAGCACCCACACTGCCTGCCCCACCCCCACCGGGATGTCCACTCCAACAGCAGCTCAGCTCCTGAAGCAAACACCTGCTCCCTGCCTCCCCCCAGGTCTTCCTGCCTCCCCCC